GTGAGTATGTATATATGAGTATATATGTGAATGAGTGTGTATATGTGTGTGTGTATGAGTGTGTGTGCGTGTATATGAGTACCTGTAGATGTATGCATAGAGACGAGAGAACAGCCTCTGTTACAGTTCCTCAGGCACTCTTTTGAGATCACTCAGTGGCCAGCAGCTGGCCAAGTAGGGGAGGCTGTCAGGCCAGAGGGCCTCGCAGACCCTCCAACCCCAACCCCTGATGCTGGGATTGTGAGGACACGCCACCGACAGTCAGCTATTTTTTTTTTAACTTTTTATTGATTCTTACTGAATTTCATATCATGTACCCCAACCCCTCTCATCTCCTTGTCCCTTTGTACCTGTCCTCCACCCTTGTGACCTCCTACACAAAAGAAAACAAAAAATAAAAATAAAAAATAAACTTAAAAGAAAAATCTCACCATGGAAACTGCAGTGTGTCATGGTGTGTCACATACCCTTTTGGCCTAAGAGCATTATTTCAGTGAGTCACTGGTCTGGCTCGAGGCCTCTGGCTCTTAACCAGGACTCCTCTCAGATATCCTGTGGTCACCCTGTGTCTCACTTGGGGTTCCTGAAGCTTTGGACCTGCAGGAGAAGCCCTAAAAGAGGTAGATGTTGGGGTGGGCCAGGTCAAAGCCCTAAATCTGGGCTAACTCAGCTAACACAGCCAGCTTTTAATATAGATTCTGGAGATGGAACTCTGATCTTTCTGCTTTCCAAAGCAGGCACTTTACCTCCTCCTATCCCCCACCCCCACCCATCTGACCTTTTTGTGGATTTTTATAAATTATCTAGTCAGTGTAATATAGTTGTTGCTAGCATTAGTTAATTTGATTTCCAAACTATCCCAACTGTGTATCAAGTGAGAGTCCCCTCAGATTGGCTTTAGATGAACTTGCAGACAGAACCAGTGAGATTTCCTGATGGAATGTGGGATGCTAAGAAGATAGGACAAGAAGAAAGACCTCATATTTAGCAGGGTGTAAAAGAAGCCTGGCCACACAGCTCTCTATACATTTGGCTTTGCAGATGTCCACAATAAGTCAAAAATTCTTTTGGATGGTTGGTGGCTTTTTTATGTTTCACATGATGTCACTTAAATGCTATTTCCGCTACTGGAAATATTTCCACCCTCACACACACAAGCAGGAGTCTGGGGCCTGTGGGGCTGGGTGGAGAAACAACCCAGGGAGGCAGGCTGCAGCTTGCTGGTAGTGTGTGCCTGTGTCTTATGTTCCAAGGTGTTCACACCCAGGAGTCAGAAAAACAAGGTTTCTGTCTTTAAAGCTGCCCCCATTGGAGAACTATGAATGTAAATCAGACATTATATCAAAAGGGATATGTTGTTTTCTATTTGTCACTCTGCTGGGGCCAACTTCACAGCTAATTGTCTATGTGACAGTGGGCTCTGTACCTAGTATCTCTTCCCCTAACTGTCATTCTTTGGTTCCTAGGAATGAATTGAGACGGCAGTGAAAAGTATAAACAGATGTTGAAGTCAGACAGGACCAGGGCTAGGAAGGTAGCTTATCTGGAGAAGATCCTGTGGCCCAAGATCTTGCAGCTTAAGAACCCGAGTTCTGTTCCCAGTTCAGCTATTGGCCAATCAAACTTGCCTAATTAGTGAGCTCCAGGCTGAAGAGATACCTTGTCTCAAATAACAAGGTGGGCCAAGGTGGGTGTTCTGGAGGAACAGCATCCTACCTAGAGGCTGACAGCTCCTTCCAGGCCATGTGTGATACACATGAACCACAAGCATACCCAACTGGATGGGAAAAAAAAAAACAACACATTAGAGCCTGGAGAAAAGAGAGAGTGGACTCTGCAAGGAGGGAGTTTAGACCTAGTGTGGCCAGGCACTGGTGCTGGTGCACACTTTTAATTCCAGCACTGGTGAGACAGAGGAAGTCAGATCTCCCTCTGAGTTTGAGACCAGACTAGCCTCCAGATAACCAGGTCCATACAGAGAAGCCCTATCTCAAAAAACAAAAACAAAACACAAACAAACAAACAAAAAACTGGTATGAAAGGTATTCCCAGCTCTCCTGCTAGCTGAAAGTTTAACTCGGTGTGAGCAGTCACCCACAAACACACTCCACTACTGCGTTGTTCCCCTAACTCCCCTGGAAAAGCAGGCTAGAAAAGAAACAATACAACCCAGAGAAACAGTTGGTCAAGGAACGAGGAGGCCAAAACCCCTCAATAGCCTACAATTAGTGAAGGCAGTAGAACCTGGGTTGTGTGGAGCACTGACACTGCGGTCTGGGGGAAGGAGGCACCTTCTGGCCTCAACTCTAGGTCTCCCTAACTGGTTGGAGGCCTCCCTGTTTTAGTTTACAAGGCAGAGTAGACTGTAAGGCAGAACCAAGCGAACAGCCCTCCCCATGCTCCTCCAGCTGGTGACCAGAGGTTAAGCTAATATGTTTGCAGTCATGGGGAGCCGGGTGCCAACAGCCCAGCTCAGAGGAATCCTAATATATGCGCCTTGAAACAATTCTACCCTCCATTACCTCGCTGCCTAGAAGCCTAAAAGCAAAAGAAGTGGGCAAGCCAGGCAGCTGAAATCTTAATAACCCAGAGCCAGCCAGAGCCAGTACCCTAGGAGTAAGAGGATTGGGGCAGGGGGATGGGTGGATGCTTGTGGGGCCCGAGGAAGTGGTGGAGCTGTCAAGTAGGGCAGGACTGGGCTTGGGCGGCGTTCCAAGTTGGGTGAGCCACCCAGCAGGGTGGGAACAGGCCAGCAAAGGGAGGGGAGGCGGGGCGGCCTCGCTCAGGGAGGATGGGGCGGGTATAAAAGCCCCACCCAGTCCAGCCGGGCTGCTCGGCTTCTGGGGCGACTCACGGAGATAGGTGCTTGGCCCAGGTAAGCGGGGGAGCGGCCCGGTCGCCCGCTATGGCCTCGGGGTTGCGGTGCTGAAAGGGGAGCGGGCAGGCTCCGGCGATGGGGACCCCGGGGGGCACGGAGAGTGACTCACCCCACCGGGTGATCTGCGGGCTCTGCAACAGAGTTGCAAAGTGTCCCGCGGGTGACAGTGCTTTTTGCATGCCACTCTCCTGAGGGTTCAGGGCTCAGGAGGTGTGTTGGGGAGGCAGACTTCCCTTTGAGGTTTCCTCGGATGCGGGGAGACCCTGTGTGGGGCGGGGAGCCGAGGGGGACGGCGTTCCAGACGAGCTAGATGCCAGTAGGGGAACTGGGTGTGGCCGCTGGGGAGCCTCCGGCCCAGCAGTGAGAAGTCTGTGGACTTCCCCCCCCCCTCCGCCTTCCGCACTGCGTTCTCTCACTCTGGACCGTGACTTCTGCAATTTTAGGTGAATTTCCTTGCAACTGAGAGACGTGCATTTGTGAAGTCTGAGCGGGGTTCCTAGGAGGAGGCCGGGGCGGGGAGGGCACTCAGAAGCTCAAATCTTGTCCTTCTTTACCCATAAAACAATCTCAGCTCAGTCTTTGTCATGAATTCTAGATTGTCTGCTAGGTCAGCGACCTCAGACTTCATTCCTCCTGGGGAGTTTGCGGCTCGCTTTAGAAAGCGTGCAGAAGGAAGTGTCCCCGAGTGGTTGTAGGGACCGTTGCCTTGACTGCGGCTGATGCCACCATGAGTCAGTTGATAGGGTCTATAGAAAAGGGCGTGGTTCCTGGGCGGTAGGTTCCAAGGCTGGCGCGGAGCGCTGTGGTTCGAGAAGTTTCTTTATCTTTGAAAGTGGTTTCCGAACTCTTGTTGTTCGAACTCTTATTGTTCGTAGCGCCACTCACACCGAGTTACTGAAGGTTTCCGAAAACAAGTTCATTCAAAAATAGCTAAGTAAAGCAGACTGAAAACAGTGTCATACAAATGTAAAAAACAAAACAAAGCCAACAAAAGAACTGTTACTTGAGACATAGCGGTAATCTCAACACTCAGAAGACTGAGGCAGCAAGACCTCTTTTGAACCCGGCCTGAGCTACATAGTAAGTGAGATCCATGTCTTAAAAAAAATCCAACCAACAAAAAAACAAAACAAAAAACCAAGAGCTGACGTCCACGATCAAACGTATTGGTAGAGTACCAGCAGGTCGAACTTCATTCCCAGAACTGGAAAGAGCTATTCATGTGTGTAGTAGTATGCCATATTCAGCGCCAGCCCTTAAGAGCAACCATAAACTCTTGGAACCCGAGGTCCTTGGCCTGAAACATTCAGGAGTGTAATTAGGTGGGTCTGCACCTTGGCCTGGGAAGCCACTCCCCTGCCCCACCCCAACAAAGCTATAGAAGGTGTTTGGAATCCCAAGCTAGCACTGGAAAAAAATTAATTTGCATTGTATCTGAGTGCTGCCTAAACTGCGAGGGTGAGGGGTGATCTGTGGGTAGGAAGAATAAATTACTGATGTGGGGCTCAGTTTTTCCCCCTTAGTTTTAAAGATAGTCCTGAACAAATCATGTCAATTGGAAACCTTTCTCCCGTTTCTCTTTCCTGTGTTCCTTCCACCGTCTTGCAGCCTATGTCCCTTGACTGTTAGGTTGGCTTTGGAGACTTGCAGTCCCACCCACTTCCTACTCTTCTTAGAGTGTGAAGCACTCAGCCGAAGTCTGTGGATCTGTGTCAGGGAACTTGGAGATGACAGAGGAGACCAGAGCAGAGCTCTGTCCTCTTCCGCTCTCCAAAGTACACAGCTGACCTTAAGTCCAAGGGTTTCTCCAGAAGCACCCTGTCGCCTCTGCTGCAGCAGGGGTAACTCACTAGGTGCATCTCTCTGTTGAGGATTTCCTGTTTGGTGTGGTAGAGGTTCAGGAAGTTTGACTAACTAGCCAGGCAGCGCTTGAGGCTTTGACAGAGCACTTGGACTGGTGCCTCAGTGTTTCACATCCTGTGTCTTTGAGCTGTTAAAATACCCTATTGATTGGCTTTAGGCAGGCAGTCTTGGTCATTGGCTTCCTGGCTAATTTCTGATTTAAGTAGTTTTCCTGGCAAGGCAGGCACTCTTCTAAATTGCTATTGATTTCTGAGGGCTGTGGTTTCTCCCTGCACCTTTGGGCCTAGATTAATATGTGTGAGCATTTACGGGAATTTTTGCTCTAACTCTTGGCTAATAGGGGAACCTGCTTCATCAAGTGAACACGGGCAGATGTGTTACAGAAGGAGTAGCAGGCACTACGGGCCACTTTAAACATCCATTTGTTTTACAAGCTATCTTGTAGGTATCCACTGTGTCCTAATCACAGTTAATGGTCCTGAGAATATAGCAGTGGACTAGACACACATACACATGAGTATGCACACAATGTGCACGTGCACACATACAAACACACTCACACATCCTTATTTTTTAGATTTTGAACCTATTTGGGGGAAGAAGAGAAAAGATAAATAAATTGATTGGGCAGATAGCAATTTGATTTGACATTTTATTGTTTCATCAAATTAATATTCATTCCCAAACCTAGCTAGGTATCCCTTCTGGATTTCTATCCGTTGTTTAATAGAACTGGACTTAGAGCTGAGCTTATCCCAAAGAAATGTATCAAGTCCCTGGGTTTAAGCTGTTCTTCAGAATCAACTGTGAGACTTGAGTAGAAGTTGGCTGTTCTCGTTTTTTGCTTCTACAAATAATTCCCCAGGCCACACCCTTCTCTAGCTGTGGGCCTCGAGAGAGGAAATTCCAGACCTTGACAGAAATTATTTCCACCCATTCACAGTCTGGCATGTTTTACCTTTGTTACCAGAGGCAGTGTCCATCCATGTTGTTGAGGGGACTTGTGATTCTGGGTTGGTCCACTGATATGATCTCCAGATGTCCCCATTAGGGTACACACTGAAGTTTTTAAGTGATCTGAGCTCAGATCTTCTTAGGGTACCCATCTGCAGCACTGGAGCAGTCTAGTTCTAGTCCCAGACTTGATGTGGACACTCTGACCACAGGAATGACGTGGAACCGTTTGTGTGTGCTCTTTGTCTCCTGGCCACACCCAAAGGACACTCACAGCTTGGAGGAGTCACAAGGCCACGTGGATCTCCCACCTCCCTTCTGCGACCTCGTTGTGGTCTGGCTCTCTGCCTGCTCCTGTGAATGCTGTCCTGAGGTAGAGCTAGGACCATCTCATCCGGATACTGTGGAGATGGGGGTCGGTACAAGTCACTTACTGCAAATGGGAAGAGGCTGCCCTGAGATGAGCTGCCAGGCTGCATGAAGACGTTCAAAGGCTGGGAATGGGGGCTCCTGAGTCTGAATGGGTAGAATTGGGCCTGGATTTTAAACATGCAGTCCTAGATAGAGAAAGGAAATTGAAAAAGGAGACTAGTTTGGAAATGAGAAAGTAGACTTAAAACAGGAAGACCCAGTGTGTGAACCGTCAGACCTCTGAGACAGGAGAAAAGAGTAAGTCACAAGCCCCATGTTGGAACAGTGTGGAAGGGTGTCCTCCACACACTCAACTCTGGCAGGAGATCTGGGCAAGGTGACATCGTTACGATTATCTATGGCTTAAGTCTCACTTAATGCCCACTGATCAAGATGGAGTGCCCCTAGTGGGCATGCTGAGGAGAGTTAGTAACCTAGTCTGCTGTATGTGGAGGGGACATGCGTGTGTGTGCATGTGTGTACCTGTACAGAGACTGCATTGAAAGACTGATAGTGTTGCTGAGTGGGTAGTGTACTTGCCTGACGGGCACAAGCCCTAGGTTCCATCCCCAGCACCACGTTAAATTGGGAGGCAGGAAGTTCAGGATCATCCTCAGCTACATAGTGAGTTTGAGGCCAGCTTGTGCTATGGAAGAGGCCTTGTCTAAAGACAGAAGGGGAGAAGGAGGAGGGAGAGAAGAAACCACAGGCTTAAAGAGAGCGGGCGAGGTTTGGGGTGTGGTGGATTGTCTTGAACTTCTCTGGCAGCTGAGCTCTGTTGGAAGCCTAATGTGTGGGCCACAAGACACTGAGACTGAGTTATAGATGCTTGGGCTTCGTTTCCAAGCCTGAACATGTTTCTTCCTGGATGGTCTCTTTCCACTCACTCCAACTCTATCAGCTCCAAGGCAACATGGCAGTATGCATAGCTAGCAAACAAATATTGATTCAGATCAGACAGCCAGAGGGATGGCAAGCGCTGTAGCTCTTCTGAGTCTGATCAAGGCTACGGGCAGAATTCCAGGAGTCCTGGGGCTTAACTTGGCCCTGTGACTCAAGCATTAATCAGAACCATAAAACTAAGGGGGAAAGTATGTGCCTTCAAGAAGGTTCTGTTAACCAGAGATGATTTAGTGGGGTGAAGGGTGGGGTACAGTGGGAACTCCCTCTCCTAGCATTCATGCGTTTTTTTTTTTTTTTTGATTTGTTTAAAATCCCACTGTGGTTTGTACACTTCGGTGTCCAGGACCTACAGTAAGGGCTGTGGTGGGGAAACCCAGCCCTCCACATTCCCATCCTCACCCATTTTGACTTTAAAATCCTGGTTTGAGGTCATTCCATTCCCTGATTGATTCCTCGTGGTGGTTGCTAGGCATATGTTTTGGGGTAACCCAACAACAGACTTTTTAACTACTCTCCAAGTGGGTGTGTCTCTGAAACTGCCAGGTTGGATTCTCTACAAACCAGCCCTGTCAAGCTCTTGGCTTATTTATTTATTCAATTTGCAAATTAATATCTGGGCTTCCTGGAACTAGCATTTTTAAACTCAGTGGATCTTATTTTTACTGTTTCCAGCGTTGCCTGTGAGATTCTTTCTCTCAGCTTTTTTAAAATGTCTGTTTGGCTTTCCTTTTGCAGGAGAAGGTTAAAAAGAACTTCATTTGTACTTTTTGGTCATTGTTGTAACTACGGTTTTTGGAACAAAACAATAAAATGTAATAAGATCTAGATATTAGTTATTTTTTTTAAAGACAAACCTATAAATTATT